GCTCAACATCAAGTCGGCAAGATTTCAGCAATTATCGGCGGGAAATTTTTTATCTGTTGCATACAAAAAAAGTGTAGTTGATAGAGCCTTATTTGGGAACTATTTAACGTTCCAAATCTATAATTTCAAAAAATATGTTAACCGTTCAAAAGGATTTTTCTCTGTGTTCATCAACAAAATATCTCATATATGTACAAAATTTTACTTTAAAATCAATTTGATGTAAATAATTTTAAGTTCATTGTAAAATAAAATAATAATCATGCGTCGTTCGTACATTTTTATTAACTTTGTATGTGAGAGACCCCACCTAATTTAGGAAAAATAAGATTTAGAGTTATATGTAGCGGAAAGTCACGGGAAACATAATTGTATACACATTGGCTAAAATTCTCAGACTCAATAAGTATGAATGCATCATTTTTGGAAGGAGATTTTTCATTTTTTGTTCTTTATAGCATAGAGTTTATCATCACTACTTACATGTATTACCGGGTGATAGGTATCCAACAGGCATTGGACAGGTGGGTTTCCGACGATGATAGTTTATTTGTAACGCAACATTCTAATGCATTCGAAAAAGAGATTACAGAATATTTTTATCAACAGAAGAAAATGAAGGGACATCAATATGAATTTCAGAAATACAAAATTTATCATTTCTTTGTTACCTAGAGTATTAGAAATGCGTTGAGGGAAAGAAAAAGAAAAACACAAGCTATGTTGAATTACGATATAAAACCATGTGCCAGAACATTTTCTTTCTTTTACAAGTCGATTAACTGCAAACGAAATAAATGTTAAAAAGAGAATTGATTATGTATAGACTCTACAGAGAATGACACTTAATAAATATTTTATTAGGTTTCTTGAAATGCAGTTAAACCAATTAAAAAAAGAATAAATGAATTAGATAGTCGGATTCAGCTTGGGTGCGTAGGATTCTAAAATAAATTATATCATATTTAGCCAGCGATGTAGCTTTATATACATGTATGCTGACTTGGATATCTACCCCCCCCCAAAAAAAAAATAATAAATCATTAACTCTCCTTTACAGAAAAATAATATGCATAAAGGCACGCAGCGTACGCATCGACAACATTCTGCTATCCGTCTCTACCCAGTCCAACACAACACTTATAAAATTATAGACATTTCAATTATTTGTTTAATGATCCCCTCAAAGAATACTACCCAACATAAAAAAATTGAGATTTATAATTATATATATATATTATAAGAATTTTATAATGTAGATAAACGTTTTGATGTTATAATTGAAATTCTTAGTACAAAACGGAACCATATTTTTTTTTCATAAGAAAGAAATACTGCTCAAGATGTATTTTTGCAGAAAAGTTTGGTATTAACGGAGTTCAAACTACTTAACATTTTGCTGAATATTTAAAACACCTTTCACAAAACTATTGTTTTTTTATCATCCGACTTTAGAGTATTTTTTTTTTGGTTTACAACTCTTTGAAATATTAATGACGTAGAAGGATATGTTTTACAAACCGGGCCCAGCTTCTTACATTTTCGCCAATCAAGTTAAAGAAATTTAAAAATCATTGATAATCCATCGTCAGTATTTTTTATAAACTTGCAAAATAAGGAGTTAAATATTTAAGGAAATTAACTTAAAATCTGGTAATGGAAGAGAGACAAAAGTTTAGATAGAGAGAATAAACATCTTTTTTAAGGAAAATTAAATAAAAGATCAGACATTAAACTATCAATTGTATGTGGCGATTTTTGAGATTAAAAATATGTCTGAATTTTTACAATACGCTTTCAAAGTTGGCACTTCTTGCGCTTCATTTCTACTTAATATTTCTTGTTATTTTGTTTAATTTTTACTTTTTTTCCCTATCAGGACAAATAAAAAGGCACTTAAATGTTCAAACAATACATAAATAACATTAGTTTCATATTTCTTTTAATTAAAGATTAGAGGAAAAGGAAACACAAAAGAAAACGTACTGTAAAGACAAAATACACTCTGCCTGATAATTTAAGCAAAGATAAAATAAATATTATTTAGAGAAAATAAGAAAAAAATCCCACTTTTTAGCTGTGCAGCATGTAAATTTCGCTAGAAGTTTCTAGATGAGGCCTCGACGGGACTATGCATTTCTAACGCACTATATATATTTCCACGGACAACGTAAGTTTCAGTCAGATTAGTTTTGACAACGGGTAGACGCAATTGAATTTAAGTCAGATGATGGAGATTGATCCTAATTTATTTCAGGGGTCTTAATATTTCAGTTTTATTAGATGTATACACATACAACAGTATAGAAGACTAATACAGAACGGAAAGTAGCTCCTGCCCACTGTAGTCCCGTGCAGAAGAGCAAACTTCAAAGAAAAATTCCTCTACCGTCTTATTAAATGAAATAATAATGAAACTGAATTTTTCAAAAATATGTTTTTTAAAACTTTTATGCTGTTAACACATAATTATGGTACCGGAAAATGAGGTTGGCTATAATTAATTTTCAGACAGGAAAGGGTCTTTAACAAAGCTTTCAAATGAATAATTTATTGACTGCAAATTACCAAAATTCGTTAAAATGATTTAAATACCTATATTTAACCATCATCGTATGAAATTTAACCTTTTATTTGTTTTGGTTGAAAAATCAGAGTACAGTGGTACATAAACTGGGACTTGAGATGCAAGAGTTGCTGTTATTTGTTTGGTTTAGACTGCCCTTTGTTTTGAAAGTCCGGTAGGTGGCGACACCTCCACCCTCTGTTTCTAGAGGATAAAATCTATCCTCCAAAAACAGAGGCCGCCTAGACCTGTTGGATACTTTGTACTAACTCGATATGCATAGCTGTTTGTTTTGTTTTGGTTGGTTGGTTATTTCTGTGATAAATTATTAAAATACACGTAAATTCATTCAAAGACATGAAACATTAAGTATTATATCTAATATAATATTGCGAATTTAATCGTGAATGAATGAATACATGTGCACACGATGATAGTAAATGAAGTTCACACACTAGGCTATTACTGCATCAGTACATATGCGATTTTCTGTACCAGATTACGTCTCCTCAGGCTAAAATTTAAACTCTAAACTAAAATAAAAAATATATTCTGTACTTCCTCAGTAATGCACCATGCCATTTTTTCTTCGCTATATGTCTACCAACTTATTATTTATCTGGTGTTAGATATGGCCTTACGTCTTCTGCTATTTGAAAAAAAAAATAAGTGCAGATCGGACTCGGAATTCCTCTGGCTTTTGTTTACATTGATCCATGGTAACAATAAAAAAAATAAGGCTCTACGAAGGGGAATACATTTAAAATTTGTTTATTTTATTAGTACATGTTTAAAATGATCAAATTTTTAAAAGAAAAAATCTTTGAACTGCAGTTAACGATGTCTAAAACATTCCTTCACGTGAAAATCATGTGTAGTAAAAATACCGGGAAATCTTTCTCAAATTTATTCGCTTTTTTCTCATTATGACGTTGCATACGATAAGGTCGGTTTCTATCCGACGAGGCTCATATATTGGATTCATTGTTCAATGCACTATTGAAATCAATAATTTAATCCATATTGAAATTTTTTCAAAAGTGAATATTATTTCAATAGTGATTGCAACCTTTGTTTGTTATTGAAATGAATCTCACCCACTACTGATATCATTATTTCAATAGTAGTCGTATTTCAATAGTGGTTACTATCTATGTTTGTTATTGAAATGCACTCTCAACCACTATTGATATAAATATCCCAATAGTGGCTGCATTTCAATAATGGTTACTAACTATGTTTGTTATTGAACTGCACTCTCAACCACTATTGATATAATTATTTATTGTTATATAATTATTTCAATAGTGGTTACTAACTATGAAATGCATTCTCAACCTCTATTGATATAATTATTTCAATAGTGGTTGCAACAGTGGCGTATGAAAATATCTTGTTCTCTGCCTCTCAAAATTATCATAGAACATTGAATTTAGTTATAATTTTTACGCAATCAAAGACTAGACAAAATTTTCAAATGTAAGTTAAATAATAAGGGACTAAAGTGTCAAAATATATCAAATAAATGAAATTTTTCACACATACTAGAACTAGGTTGGCTTTTAAATGCTTCAAATCTAAGTACGAAGTTGAGCCAAAAATCCGTAAAAAGTGTTATTTCTCTCTTAGTAAACGATCAAAACTTTTAGTTATTGTATTATTTTGTACCTTTATGTGACAACTTTACTATATGTGAAAATTGGAAAAGGTTAAATATAGGAAGCATATAAATATAACTAATAAATCCTAAAAATTTAAGAAAAGTAGAGGAAATTCGGATTAGCAAATATAGACCCTATATGATTTATTTAAATTATCCATGTCAATTTGGTATCTCTTTAGACCCTATGGTAGTATCTTTTTATGCAACAAGAAAAACATTCAATCTTTTGAATTACAAGTGGGGATCGAATGATTGGAAACAGTAATTTTTTATTCTTAATGTCTAGGAAAAAGGTAATGACTTTGACCTGACCTTGCCTCTAATATTAAACAGTCAAATTGAATCTCACTGATACCATCACTTAGTGATACTGTCCTCATTAATCTTTAAATACAAGAAATGTGAGAAGAATCCTACCTTAAGTCAAAAGTGCTGACTGTCGATTTTATACTTCTTGAAAAGAGCATATTTTCACTCTGAAATGTCTATAGATTTATTTCGTTTTCTTGGCAAAAGTTCACTGTCGAAGGGTGATGGTCGACAGGGATGCTCACGTGTTCAGTGCACCTGAATCCACCTCTGTTGTGTTAGAGGTTTCTGTTTGTTCTGCTTCCTATTTATGTTGTTTTGAGCTTGATAGCTGTTCATTATCTCAATATGTCATCAGACAATATTTGACATTTTTACCCTGAATTTTTTTTGTTGTGATATCCCATATTTAGAATTTTTAAGAAATATTCCTTCATATAAATTGCATTTTTTATTATTACAGAAGAAAAAGAAAAATCGTTCTATACTTGGGTCCATTCGAGGAAAAAAATCGGTAAATAAATAAAAATTATATACAAAGTATGTCTACGGCAATTTTTAAAAATAAAAAGATGTGAAGTAGACTTGTAAGATAAAAAAAAAAGGAATTTGAAATAGATTTAGTTAACTTTACACAAAACATTAATGATGATTTAAGCTTTGTGCTTGTGTGTTTAATTTATAAGTGACAACAAATTTATAGTATATTGCATATTTTTTAAGAAAAAAGCCAAACGGAGTCTAACGGATGTATTTGAAGAAGAAGCAAAGAAGTTAAACGTTGAGAATGAGAAAGTGGTAAATTCATATTTGTTATATCTCTGCACACAATTCTTAGAGTTATATGATGTACTTACACTTGTATCCCCATGTTGCTTGATTGGTTTAGGCTATTTTATCATTAGAACACACTTTCAAATGTATGTATTAAAAACATATTTATATATTTTATCACATGTACAGAACATATAAGAAAAAAATAGACTTTTTCAAATGTATGTTTGTAAACACATGTACATGTAAGATATACTGAAGATATACTACTAAAAACGTTTACAATTTTTTTTATTGGTTATGCAACGATCTATAAATGTATGCATAAATATCATTTTTGTTCTTTTAATATGCTTAATATTGCAAAAATTACAGTTGTTACAACTGTTTAAATCTTTATCGTATAGAGACAATATATAGGAAAAATATAAAATAGATGGAAGCATGATTTATATTACATTGCAGCTAAATTTTGTATTATGTAACCAATGGAACAGTTAATTTTATAGTTGTCTTAAGTAACATGTACACTGTACAATTAAGAGTTAAAAATAAAAAAAATATTTAAACTGAAAGACCAGTGACATAAAATATGCTGCTAAACATAAAAAGTTCTAGAGGAGGTTGAGTTTGGTCACATTTAATCACGTGACTTGATTACTAACAGTCACCAGATGACGATGATTCAGAAGAAGAGGAGGCAGATGATTGGGACGATGATCCTAATAATCCCTTTTCATCGTCTTTTCAACCAAAGGAAGTTCATATAGCACAACAACCAGTATGTTTTATAATCAGAATATTTTACTATTATACTGCCATTTGTCGTAATCCTCATGTATATTATTTACTAACATTTGATCTAGGTACATGAACGTATCTCTTTAATGATACGCCTTGTTAAGATAATTGCCATTCCATATCTTAATAATTAGTGACTAAAACACATCTACTACACACATGTTTTGTATATACTAGATATAATTTTATTAATAATTAGGATTGGAAGTTTCTTAGGCTTATAATGATCATTTTCGTTAATTTTACCTGGCATTTTCCATTTGTGTATATATAATACATTTAAATGATATTTGCATTTCGTAAATTTAAACACATTGCGAACGAAAAATGAAAAAAATAATGTATATCGTCATTTTTGTGTATTATCGAACAAGACGCTCGAAAAAACATGTAAATTTAAAACACATTTTCAACAAATTTGGACGACTTCAACGTATCCGATTTTGCAATACTTCAGACGATGTTATTTTAATGATATTAACTGTCACGTTGTTTTTATAGCCTGTGAAAGAAGTTCAGCAGATACCTGTTGCAGACGTACAATTCTCTATTGAAAGAGAAAATTCAAAAGAATCTGATAAAATGGAAGTATCGGAAGACAGTTCCAGCAAAGGGGTAAATTCCCATATTTTATCAAAGTTTGAAAAAATCTTGAATGTTTTAGTCTTTTAACATCCATTGCATAAAATCATTTGTATTTAGCCAAAGAAAAAGAAGAAGAAAATGAAAATACCATCTTTTCGGAAAAAAAAGAAAGTAAGCTTAAAGAATTTAGAGCTGAGATTTTAAATTTTCAGTGCATCAGTTAACAGACAACATTAAAAGAGATTTTAAACAACAGTTAAAATTATATATGTTAATAGTCAACATTTGTATATGCTTAACAAAATATTGAAACTATATTAGCCAAAATTACCATTATAAATTATAACTTGCTTTTTCAAAAATATTTTTCAAAGTATCTCAGGCAGTTTTAAATTACTTTAACTACATATTCATGTCTTTGTAACAAATTATTACTCTGTGGTACAGGAAGACGGGAAATCCGAAGTTCAGCTGCATGTAGCTACGGTAATAATATGGTGTAATGTTATGAGCATTGAATATTGAATGAAACATTATTGCGAGAATATGGTTTTCCATGTATGAAAATAATTCTATCGTCCTTAAAGGTTGCTCAACCATCCTCTTCTCAGAGCCCGGCATCACCACTGGTCAGTTCTCCAAAACAAACGATGGAGCAAATTACGGTAATTGTTACATCTACATCGTTTTTATGGGGCCACACATACACTTTATAGCCTGTAACTTTACATTTGAATGTTACAATAGTTAAAGAACAGATTTATGCAGCAATTGTCTTCCATATTAAGGGCATTTATTTAAACATTATATTATATATAAAAAGATGCGTCAAATTTCCATTTTGCATCATTACCAATTATACAGTATTCTAGTATTATTGTCGTTGTGCTTGTTGCATGACTGTACACATGGATTCACTTATTATTCTGTTGCATTTTTATATGAACATAAAAACCATGTACAGCTTCATGTTCTGCTTTTTCAATATGTTTGCATGATCGTCATTGCGTGTAGACAATACCGGAAGTAGCAATCAGACAGCATCAAGTACCGGTCCAGGAACACCCACGTGTTCACAGCTACTCTTACGAATCTCCGGACCACTTTATAGATACTGAGAATTCGGAACATTTACTGGTAACAGCATCATTGATGTATTCAATGTATATTTGATCCATGAAATATATCTTATAGACTTATTAAATTAACTGATTTACTTTTATGTCCTATTACATACTTACATTTTAAGATGTTTCATGTTTAAATAAAATATTTTCAATTTATTTTGAAATCTACTGGATCAAAGAACTTGAAATGATGTTATTAAAAATCTCTTAATCTGAAGAATATATACCTCTTAAGATACTTATTGTTTTAACAAGCTTGATCCTTGCAATACTTTACTAATCTGTCATGACTTGAGCTCAATACAGCTTTTTTGAGAATGGATAAAACTTGCACTTGTTAGTTTATAAATGTGCTTAGAATCAATAAAAACAATGTTTTGGTACAAAAAGCACGCATGAAGCAACTCTTATATGAAACAGCCTTAAAAAGTTGTTTTTTTAAATATTGTTTTAGTCAAGGGAAGAAAGAAATAAATCCAAACAGTTTGCTTCCATGAGATTACCCAAAAATGTAGGTTTAGCTTATGTTTCATCAATGCTTTGAAAATTCCATTCAAATGTGATTACAAAACATTATGATATAGGTTTTAGAAGATATCCTTATACATATACATATATTTATTACATAAATGAATTATTTAAAAAATAAAAATACATATACCTTGTAGCAACAACGTCCCGTGGTACCAGTGCTGCCATTTATAAAAGAGGAGGGAAAATCTGTTCACTTGGTATGTCACTTGTAAAAGTTAAGACATTGTAAGTTTTTATCTTTAATACAAATTGCAGATTTGATAACGAATATTTTTTACAGAATGAAAAGGAAAGTGTAATAATTGTGGATGAAGAGCTGCCACCAAATATTGTACGTTTTCCAAACTGTTCAGAATCATCTTGATGAAATTAAACATTAGCATTGATATTCGTAAATACTTCAGAAATTCAGAGAGATAACTCGGCATTCTGTGTTTTTTTCAAATTTTCAGAATAAGAAAGTTCGTCAAGAGTCAAAAATATTTTCTTCAATTAGAAAAAAGATGACGGTAAGTTTTCTTGCAAGTATATAGATGTTTCTATCAAACATAGCAAAACAAAAAAAAACAAAGTCACTTCTCCATGGCACCTGATTCCATCTCCGATGTTTTGGAGGTCAGTGTTTGCTCTGCTTATGTTTTGTATTGTTTTATGGACTTTTGATCTTGAATACTGTTCGTTATCTCCATATGTTTCATTGGAATAACGACACGGTATAAATTGCGATAAAACATGCAAACGATAGTTAAGTAATGCCGAATACTGTTCTATATGTAAAATTATAAGACTGTTTGAGGCCCCTTATAGAACAGTATAAGGCATATATCTTACTTAAAACATACATTCAATTTGCCATTTAAATGTCCAAAAGTTACCTGGAGGAGTCCAATAATTACACAATGAGCGTTCAGGCTTTCATTGTTTTCTACTCGTCTAATGAAAAGATAAAAGAAATGATACAGTAAAAACAGTGAGTTAACTCTATGTCATTTTGATATTCATTCAATGTCGGTCGTTTAGCTAGGAAGGAGTGGGGTCCGATGTTGAAGGATTTATTTAATGTGGAACATTTTTTATTTATTATGTGCATAAATTGACATTGAAACAGGCATAATTTTGGGTGTTATTATTACCATTGAAAGTAAAAATGCGGATTTTATCCTGAAGTTCCAGTTTATATAATGGAAATTCTCAGGTTTTAAAAGTGCGGCCATCAGGGAACAAACCTTATAAATTTAGAAGATATGCAGATTCTTTAGAAATTTGAAAGTATTAATTTTGAGGAAGGTGTAAACTCGAATTTTATTTTGTTATGAATTCGCTTTTTTGTAGCACAACTTGCGTTTGCTTTCCCTGAAATTTTTTCCTAACTTTTTTTTTTTGGTTTCTGGACGTATCTAACCTTTATTTCACTCTTCTTTTGTTTTGTTTTTTTTAATACAGTTCGATTTTGTTATCACTACCGTCCGATAATATATTATCGGACTGGTAATTATTATTATCGGACGGTTACGGGTAAATTTTTAGATTGTAAGAACAAAGGCATGACGTCACAGAAATGTTTTTAACCTCAATTACATTGTACAATTGGTCTAGTAATAAATATAAGAGGCTGATGGAAGTTCCACACGATTGTCTAAACTATTGCCTGAATAAAATTACTTTTTTCCATGAAACGTTCTTCAACTCAATATTCTTAACAGTAGCGGGTTATGTTACTAGTACTTCAAAACCTTTACCTGGCCCATGGATCATGAACCATCTTGAACTTAAGTCAAAAGTTTCATGCTGTACTTAAATTTTATGAAAAGCAAACGGATCAAAATTCATATATTGAGTTATATTGAAATCAATGTTGATTTATAAAAATGATATTATGTTATGTAAAATGTTATTATTTGCAAATTATTTGCAAATTTGCATATTTGACTAAGGTTCCTCAGAAATATATAATTTTTTCTAAGAATTTGTCTTGGTACTTAAACAAGTTTCTTCACAAAAAAAGTGGGTTACCTTACCAGTCATTCTCAATAATAATATTGATATAATAATATCAGTAGATAATTCTTATATACCTTTATACCTTTATAGGCAATCATTTTTGATTGATTAATTTATGAAAATTTTTTACTCATATGGAGACGTCACCGTATGCCGTTGAAAGGCCTAGAATTAGGACCTATTCTCAGGGCCATTGAGCAGTGAGGAATCTTTAACGTTTTTAAGGTCATATCCGAAAGACCCGTGAATTCACTTCTAATGCCGAGCGCTTAGTGAAGGAATTTTAACAGTCACTATCAATGTTTACGTCTTCAGTTTGAAGCAGCGCCCCGATCACGAAGCAAACGCTTTGCTACTAGGCTTCCGTGGCCGGTGGTCACTTTTGTATATCTTTATATAGAGTTCTTCTTCAAAAGGAGATCAATTCCCCTGGGTAGAGTATAAAAAGGCCGCAACCACCCAACCCTCTTAATATATTTGCTGATCATCCTGTTTATATTTGTTAAAAGACGCAAAAAGTACTTTTTGTCTTTAAAACAAATGCTGAAAATGCACGTTTTTTTTTTTTTTGCTGGGAATGTTTTAAATTTTCACCTTTTCTTTTTTAGGAAACATCAGTCTTTGACAACAAAGAAACCCTACATAAGAAGAAAACCGATTGATTTTTTCATTGAATTTCAAATTTCAATGGCATTGGATGAACCCAAGATTAAATTAAAAAAAATATGTTAGTGTTTCGTGGGATGTTTAGACTTACAATTTCCTGAATCTGTTTTGCCAAAAATTTCAAAGTTCTTCCACTTATTAATGTATACCTGCATTTTGTCTATTCTCAATAAATCATACTCAAATAATTTTTGTATAAATAATATTTTTAATATAACAAGGCATTTTGATAAAGTTATAAAATTTATTAATTTTTATTATTTATTTTAAATGCAAAATCTGAAAACCCATGACATTTTGACAACTAAAGAATTAGTTCTTCAGTAATATTACTAGACAGAGCACCCAAAACAAAACTTGGGAAAATCTGAACTGCACATTTTCTAATGTTGTCTAAGGAATGGAATATAATCTCTGTGGACTTGTATGGGCAAAAATACGAGGGCCGTTCAAAAATTACGCGGACTTGTTGCAAAGAAAAACTATTTGACGACATAATCGGGAAAGAATGTAACACATAATATTATTATAAAATAATGTTTACTAATATGGTCTACAAAATTTCATATCGAAAGTTTGTAAATTGATATCAATTTTCGGTGATTTAGCAGGACATATAATTAAATTACGCAGCAGCAGACTCTTCGACGTCACAGGCATTTAAAAAAATATATGAACGTTTATGAATTTTCTCAAGCTTAAAATCTTATAAACAAGTAAAAGTTATTCTTTTTTTTTTTTTTTTAAACCAACAAATGCAGGTGCATGTATTTATGCGATATAGTGTGACATTGGTCACTCTCAATCACATTCTCAACAGTCTGGATAAGGTTTACGTCGATAATCTTTTTCACGTCCTCCCAAATAGGCTTTTTACAGAGGTCTAACGGGCGAAAAGTTTAATTTGCTATTTGTAGACAAATCTCACGAATACCCTAGTTTACTACGTGTTTTATTATATGCATACTTTGGATCTAATGTTTGCAAATCTCGAGCATTACACATAATTTAACAAAATAGTGGTTCTCCGTCTATTCAAGGGACATCAATTTCACAGAAATCACATCTGAGAAAAATCAACATCTTCTTTTTTTGTACTCCACATATCACGTCAGAAATTAAAATACATAGTCATAGAACATATCATATAAAGATACATTTGAGAAATTGTCGAAAAATGTCGCAAATTATAGAAAATTAATGAGTTAAATTTTGGATTGCGCATGCCTTTGTTTCATTTTTTTTGTCATGCTCCTGATGTCTCCATTTGCAATATCAACATCGATAATATATGAAGATTTTTTTAAATACAAAACAATTGCCAAAAATGTATTGGAATCTTTAAGATTAGAGACAAGGCTGTCGCGCACTTCGCGAAGATTCCGCACGCGAATAAAAGTTGGTTTACAGTACATATTTCTGTGAAATTTCATAACTATAAGACGTCTGTAAGAATACAGTAAACGCATTCCAAAATCAAAACAGAAAATCTTTTTTTCTGTTTTAAGCATTTTACCCTTAAGGTATTGACAAAACTCAACAAATAACACAGTTTACAAGATATTTATTGGTGCAAATACTAAAAAGAACGCAAATCATCGTTTACATAGTTAGTTTTACGGAGTAAATTTATCCCAAAACTATCACTGAAACAGTTTTCACTACCACATTACAATTTGAAAAAGACAATATCTACAGGGTAAATTTCCTCTCAAAAATGACACTGATACAGTTAACATTCAGTAGTCAATTCAAAAGCGACTATCTATGATTAAACAAGGTTTTACGGAGTAAATTTCCTCCCAAAGAATATCACTGAAGAAGTATTCACTACAACAATTACAATTTGAAAATAGCAAAAATCTAGAGAGTAAATTTCCTCTCTAAATGCACATTGGTGCATTGTACATTCAGTATTTCAATGCCAAATCAACCATCGTTTACATTACTAGATTTTACGGAGTAAATTTCCGCCCAAAGATTTTCACTGATACAGTGTTCACTACTTTCAATACAGTTTGTTATAAAGAAAAATCTAGAGAGTAAATTTCCTCTCTACATTCACGTCGGTGTATTGTACATTAGTATTTCAATGCCAAATCAACCATCGTTTACACAGCTAGCTTTTACGTAGTAAATTTCCTCCCAAAGAATTTCACTGATACAGTGTTCACTACTAACTTTGCAAATTAGTACTAACAAAAATCTACAGAGTAAATTTCCTCTCTAAATTCACGTTGGTGCATTGTACATTCAGTATTTCAAAGCCAAAGAAACCATCATTTACATAGCTACACTTTACGGAGTAAATTTCCTCCCAAAGAATATCACTGATACATTGTTCACCACTACATTTCAAAATAGAAAAAAAATTCTAGGAGTAAATTTCCTCTCAAAATGCACGTCGCTGCATTGTACATTCAGTATTTCAAAGCCAAATCAACCATCGTTAACATAGCTAGATTTTACGTAGTAAATTTCCTCCCAAAGAATATCAATGATACAGTGTTCACTACTATCATTATAGTTTGTTTATAACAAAAATCTACAGAGTAAATTTCCTCTCTAAATTCACGTCGGTGCGTTGTACATTCAGTATTTCAAAGCCAAAGAAACCATCGTTTACACAGCAAGATTTTACGGAGTAAATTTCCTCCCAAAGAATATAACTGATATAGTGTACACAACTACATTAAAATTTGAAAATAACAATAATCTAGAGAGAAAATTTCCTCTCAAAATGACATTCATACAGTAAACATACAGAAGTCAATTCAGATGCGACAACCCTTTATATAACAAGACTTTACGGAGTAAATTTCCTCCCCAAGAATTTCACTGA